TATTTTAATTAAATAATTGATAAAATAAAGTTAATTTTTATTTTTAATATAAATTAATAATTATAATATACAATAAAAGTAACATTAACTTGGTTAAGGTCTAAGGCATAGGTGAAAAAATTCCAAAATAAAATGATTGAAGAATAAAAAAGTTTTGAAGTGTAATATTACTTTTTTTAAAGATTTAGACATCATTCAGAATACAATAAAATTTAAAAAATCTCTTAAAATTAAATGTAAAACTTGAACTCTATAAAAAAAGTTTATATTAACTAAATTGATGGGATTATATTTATTATGGGAAGACACCATTTTAAAAATTTTAATTTTATTTTCTCATCAAATGCCTTAATTAAGTGTCTCGTGTGATTAAAATGTTGATTTCAAATTATAATTCTTGTGTTTGAATTTTCATATGGGTGGGTGGAAGAATTATGAAAAAAGAGAGAGTTATTTTAAGTTCTCATCTCATTAAAAAGAAAAAAGAAAAGAAGAAAACTTGAAAACTTAAAAAAAATTATCAATTTCAATACAAGTTACTACAGGTGGACCCAAAAAAATAAAAAATAAAAAGAGGAAAAATACAAAGTTACTACCAACTTTCCTTGAAAAAATTTTCTCAACAACATGGCAAAACTTTTCAAGAAAAATTTCACCCAAGACAAACAACCCCTAAGGGCATTTACGTGACTTCATATCATTATTATAATCCAAGAAATTCGCAACCCTATCTACTTAAAAATAAATGCCCCTTTAATTTTCCTCCCAAATAAAAAACACTTATTATAATAATCAAATAAAAAGATCCAATCCCTCTCTCCATCCCTCTGTTCTTTGCACAGACCTGACATTCTGCAATCTTTCATCTTTTTTTTTTTACGAATTTACCCTCCATATTTCGCCCAAATCTTTAACCCAAGTCCCCCGTTTTCCCAACAGATTCTAACAGCAGTCAAAGATCCTCTTCTCTTACCTGATAAAAAATTTTGCCTTCCAACAACTTCTCCTCACTCTCTCCTTCCTGTTTTCCCTCCCTCATGTGATACTCACATGCAAGTCCCGGCACCGAGGAGCGAGGAATTTTCGTCCTGTATGGATTTGACGGAAGAAGTCGGAGAGAGCTCGTCGCCGCCGAGGAGCTTGGGTAACTCCAGTGTCTCCGATTTGAAGAATGATATCTACAATCGCTTGGTGGAAAACGGCAACGAGGAGGCTCTGTTTAACCCTGACTTCCGCGACCAGTTGGATGCTCACTTTAATCGCCTGCCTCCGAGGTATCTTCTTTCTCAATTTAATTTCATGTTGTTATTGTATGTTTGTATGTGTGTATGTATGTATGTATGTACGTCTCTATGTATGCATGGATGTACGTATGTATGTATGTATCCGTGTGTATGTATGTATGCATGTACTTGTTTAGGCATTTCTATGAGTCTGAATGATACTTGAAAATATTTCTTGGATTGGAGATGAACTGCTTGTTGTATTTGTTTAATTATTTCCATTTTCTTGTAATTTTTTGAAAATGTTAAGAGCGGATTGTTATAATTTTAGCTGTTTTTATTCCTTAATGTATGTTCCTAATGCTTAATTTTTCACACTTCAACCTAAATTTGCTTCTATTTTTTGGAATGTTTTCCTTCTTTATGAGGAATTAAGAGAGCAAATGCAATTTTGTGTTGGAAGGAACTTTTAGGTAATTTTTTCTGCTTCCTTTGCATCAGTTATGGATATGATAACATGGATAGAGTTGAAGATTTTGTGTTACATATGCAACTTCTTGCGAAAGCAAAAGACCCAAAGCAGCAGCCTGTGTATCATATTCGTTTTGTGGAGGTACTTTTTTTTTTTTATTTAATAGCGAGGTTTTGAATTCTGGTTCTTACAAACAGTTGATTTTGAGTTTGGTATCAGTTTCTACTTGATATTGAACTTTTCTTTTTGTTGCATTCACGTTGAGGTATGCATTAAGTGTTGGATCATATTCTGTGTGAGTATTCTAAAGCAATATCCAGGTTTCAGCAGTCCTTCTAATGTTAAACTGAGGTATCATTAAAGAGCTTTTGATTTTCCTGGCAAGAAAAGAAGAGCTTTATGACTTCTCGTATACGGCAGTGGATTGAGATGGTGACTGAAATCAATGCAGCAATATTTCTCTAACTTCTTAATAATACCTATGGTAGAGCTGGCATTTAATTTTATAGGCTTGACAAGATTATGTAGTGTTCATGTTGTCAATTTTTTGATGGAGTGGTCTAGTTTTGGAAATAATAATGCTTATACAAGAAAGTTTTAGAATCAGACAACTTTATGAAAATGAATGGAAATGCGTATGAATTTGTTTTAAATTAGAGTTACAATAAATTCACTAAACTATTATATGAAATGAAATTTAATTGTCACTGGTCACTGAACTAGTTAACATTAGTATGTGCTAGGAACCAAACGGCAGGAATAAAAGGGGAAATAGATGATAGAAATAGAGGGTTTTATGGTGGACATCGGACTTATTTACAAAGTTTGAGAGTTGTTCAATTTTTCTTTTCTTTTTTTTTTTTTTCCCTTTTTCCTTTTGACTAGAGGTTGTTCATGTAATATATCAACAAGCTGCTATTGCAGGTTTTGAATGTGTTACAATTGTTCTTGAATGAAAGCGGGATATTAGACTGATAAACTATTCTTTGAAAGTTGGGTTGTATCCTTGGGAGTGGAGATGTATGTTGTCTTTTAGATTGTATCTGATTTTTGTTTAAATTATGGTAAAGGCCTAATGTTAGAATGTTTCGCTCATGAGATGTGATGTAAATTGTGTCTGCTAAAGGCTCCAGGTGTCATGATTTCTGGTTGAATTCCAGCAACCATCTCAAATCATTATAAAGCAGTTAAAGTGGCATGTTAATTTCATTGGTTTCTGTAAGATGCTGAGATAAAGCTGCATCCTTTTTGCTGTTATATCTTTTGATCTATTATAAACATTAAGATAAAAAGAGATAGCATTATGTATATGTACTACTCTATGCTGGAGTGGATAAGAAATACTCAAATGCTAATCTGCATTGTTATGGTTGCCTTAGATTTCAAATTTCCAAGATTTTTTTTTAAAATTTTTTCTAGTTAAATCAATTGATAATTTTTAAAAAGTAAATTCTCCTTTTTGGTTTTTTTTTTTTTGGTAAATTTACTTCCTTGTGGTGGTCATCCTTTTTGTAGTCCAATATTGTCATAGATAGTCAGTGGCTAATCACTGGATAAGGAAGAAGTTATTAATGCATCCATGTGTATATAAAGATTTTAGGAATGGGAAAGTTCAGTAATAGGCTCAACTGCAATAGCATTCTTAAGTATTCATCAATTTGAATTTCTGTCTGTGATAGCATAAATTTGGATTTCTTCCCTTTTCTGAAGTGTTACATTCCTTGCTTCCTTTTTTTGATTTTGCATTGTTTCTGCCTTGCCATGTAGAAACTCACAAAAGCAGAAAGTAGTTGTGAGCAACAATCTGCAACTTCTTTTTCTTCTCTAAGTCCATTTGATGATGATGATAATGAAGGAGTTGTGCAATCACGTAAAAGGTATTCTATCTAATACATTCTTAACTCTCTCATCTTTTATGATTTTACAAGTTCCGACATTTGATCTTGAGTGGCTGACTCTTTTGGACATTCCTCTTTCTCAGGATTATATTACTGAATTGAAATGCTCTTTCACTAGTGTACATTTCCAATTCATTGATGCTTTTAATTATTTTTATTTGCATCATTTTGTTAGTAGAACGAAGGAGTGTGTCGACTTTGAACCTTGCTCTAAGCTCGAGGATCTAAATTTGGATGTCAGAAAGAATTGTAAAGGTGTAGAGGAAAGATGTCTTGCAGAGAACTTTACTCAAAGGTATCTCAGTGAAGATTTGTTAGTGCCTCTTTTTTGCTTTCTTTAATCTGAAAGTTAAGGGATTCTTTTTTTTTTTTTTTTTTGGGTAACCTAGTTATGAATTATGGTTGGGGATATTCCTACTGGAGAAATGAGATTGTGTCGTCTCATCATTCTGTGGACACTTATTTTGATGTTGTGTGGTCTTCTGGTGAGGGAGATCCTGATAAACTGTCCTTGCATATGACAATGGAAATCTTGATCGGAACATTGTCCATGCAAAGAAAATCAACCTTTGGGTTTGGTCTTTCGGGTTTAAATTGGATTGTCTAACCTGTGCCCTAAGGGCAGAGGTTAAGAAAGCATTAATTGCATTTTTTTGTAATTAATTTATATGGAAAAAATAAAAATTGACTTTAAATTTATCAACTACCCAATTAAAATCATCCAAGTGGTATTAGTGTTAAAAATAATGTCTTACTTTTACATTTTTCTATAAAAATTTATTACAAAACGATGCATTTAATGCACTTTAACTTGTGCCCTGAGGGCACAGGTTAGATAAATCGATTTTATATTTCAATTATCATATCACTGAGTGTGTCACTTCTTGTATTAGGACTTCATGTCTCCCAATCTATATATCTAGCAATATAACATTATTATGTTGCTTTGAGGCATAAATGAAGGATTTCTGGACTGGCTTCATTAAATTATAGAGTTTTGTTGATGGATATTTTTTGCTCAGGGTTTCATTATTGTGACAATTTACCTTTTTTTCTAGTCTTCCAAATTTCTAGGCATTTCAAACAACCACAACTTTCTGTGTCTTTCATAAAACATCATTTTAGTGGAGAACTTCTGAAGTTATTCTATAAATGTTCTTAACTTCGGACACATCATTATTAATTATTTTTTATTTTGCACCTGCCCTCCTATTATCTCTGTTTTGACTTGGCTTAACTCTGTCTATAAAATCAGTCTGATGGTTCAAAGTTTTCTTTGAATAGCTAATTTACATCTGGGAGACAAGAAATCTGCATGTCATTACTTTAAAACATAAATATAGGAATGCAGAATGTACAATGGCATCAAGAAAGTTGAATGATATGTTTTGGTGATGACATCCTTGTAAAATGGTATAAGCATGTATTTCAATTTTTCAATGAATTAATATGAATTAAGGCATTATCATTGTTATTGATTTCAGCCATCAAGTGGTCATGCATTTGTTTGGGAAATGATCTGGCTTTATTAAACATATGCAGGCAAAAAGATGTACATATTCATGAAGTGATATTTTCTACTGTGGACAAACCAAAGCTTCTCAGTCAGGTATTTTTGAAAATAATATAATTATTTATTTAGTGTTGGATTATTTCTTATGCTTTATGGAGCTTGCTTATGTGACTGTTGTGCATACATGGATATGGGAGTTGAGTAACTGATTTTTGACTCTTTTTTTTTTTTTATTTTATCTCTAACGTTTAAAACATGGAAATCAGGTTAAACTGTGTAGTTACATATTCTACCATTACCTTGAGAAGAAAATTAACTTCTACTTGATATAAAGTGATTCGTGAAAAACCAAATCACCAAAACTTGATTCTTCTCAGTCTTAGAAACCAGTTTTGAATTGTGATACCCAAAATTTTCTTTTGTTGGTGCTCTTTATTGAGGCTTCATTAATTTTATTACTTCTAATTTATAGCCTTAGTTTTGCATATCATCTATGTTAAAATTTTTGTAATTTTGACAGGCTTGTGGACCATTTTTCCGTCATCTGCTGGCTTGTAATTAATTTTCAACATTTAGGCAGCTCTCTTGGTATTCACTTTTAGGGACCGTTTGGTTAGAGGCTAACTTTTCTAGGAAAGTTTTCCTCAAAGAGTGGTTAGAAAAGTACTGTATGAAAGTTGATAAGTTGTGTAATGAAATTTTGTTCAAGTTTTAATGGGTTGTTAACTTTCCATGTTTGGTATGAGGTTGATACTGGGAAAGTTGGCAGAAAATTAGGGGGAAAATTTTTCCCTTCAAAAAAGGCAGAAAGAAAAGATTGTTTATTGGGAATTGTGTCAAGGAAAATAAAGGTTGAAAATTCCAATTGTGCCCATTATTTGTTGTCGTATTGAGGTGTGAAAATTCTAAAATACCCCTTAACTTTCCTGGGTAAGGGGGAAATTTTTTTTTCTATGCCAAACACGCCCTAAGATTCTGCTTTTACCCTTTCTGGTAACATAAGTTCATGGTTCTTGAAGTTTCCCTCAGTAAGGAGGACAGTTGTTACTCTCAAATTGAATCAACTATGTGAAAACCTGTGTGAGATCAAATATGAGGGTTAGTTAGTGTACCTTTCAAAAATACATTTTTAATCTCAAACAACTTGTCTTAGCTAGTTTGGATTTTTTGAGGTTTAGTTGGTTGAATTGAATCTCAAATAACTTGTCATTCATCTTGTTACCTTTTTACATATGAAATACTGACCAGTTATCATTTCTTCTAGCTTTCTGCCTTGCTTTCTGATATAGGACTCAATATTCGTGAAGCTCATGTATTCTCAACCACTGATGGCTACTCATTGGATGTATTTGTGGTAGACGGGTGGGATTCCGAGGTTGTTTCTTAATTCATAATTGTATTATTATTATTATTATTATTATTATTATTGTCTTTATGTTGCTTACATCTCCATTTTTTTGTTAAAGGATAACCTGTTATGATAAGAATAACTTTTTATGAAATGTTATATATCCTCATCTACTGACATGGACTCACAGTTCCAATTCAGTAGTGATGTGCATTTGCTTGAAAATTAAAATCATATTTTTATCAGAAAAAGAATTTGTTTACAACAGAGAATTGCCTTTCCTGATAAAATTTTTGAATGAAATGCCACACACCCCACAACAAAGGCTGGAAGAAATAACATATTGTCTCCCCTTACTATGGAGAGGAAGATAAAGAAATAAGGACGGACTCCACGTTAACAATCAAGAGAAAGAAAATGCGAAATCCTTTCCCTTTATTTTCTAAAGATTAAGGGTTCTTGAATGTCTAAAATTTGAGTATGTGTTGCAAAACCTCTCTTTTGTTTTTTCTCCTCCTTGAAATCTAGGATATAATTAATATTAGACCTTAAATGTTAAAATTGCTACATTTGATACATTATGTTAAAATCATCAACACAGTTAATTTAGGCAACATGTGCTTTGTCCCCGAGTAGTGGTCTTGTAGTATATAAAAGAGCACTGTGATTATATTTCTTTCATGACAGGGACCTGTGCTGAGTCCAAATGTAGCTGACTTTGCAATCTTGTGCCCAGGAAACTGATCGTTTTGATGAGGAAATGAGAAATGCAGTTGCTCGAAGTGAGGTAAGCTATGCACATGGTAATCCTATATATGATTTTAATTTTACCATCTTAAGTGTCCTTAAGGTTGAAATCATGTTTCAGGGAAGGACTGAAGTCAGTAGACATGGTATTGTAATTTGAAATGCACTTGGACAATGTAATCTATTACTTTGCAGTATTCTCTGGCATTGCTCTTGAAACATAAAATAGAAAAATTTTTTGGTGCTGCTTACATTTTTCTTAAGTTAATTTGATCCAAAATTTGAATGTGCACTAGATATCTCCTTTTGGGACTTCTTGAAGGAAGATCCTTGAGACATTTACCATCTTATCACTGTTTATATTGCTATAGCAATTATCAGTATGTCACAGACATTCAATTCTAAAAGAAATAAAACAAGGGTTTATCTACACTGTCCTAAGGGCACAAGTTAAGGGTGTAATAAATGCACTATTTTATAATTAATTTACATAAAAATTTATGGAAATTAACATTTATTTTAACACTATTGACATAGGAACAATTTTAATTGATTAATTAATTTAATCAAAGTCAACATTGACACTTTTTATGCAAATTAATTGTAAAACGATGCATTTATTGCACCCTTAAGGGCACAGGTTAGAAAAACCGATAAAACAAATATCTATGTTGAAGTTTCTTTAATTATTTCTCATGTTCTTTGGTATCTGTTAGGGTTGCAATTGTGAATTTTCTGTTCTACAGTTAAAAGAAATGAAAACTGGCTGTAGAAATTGGTGTATGAGAGATGCTGTGTTACTTTTATGATTCTTTTGAAGCCTATAGAATAGCCTTTTGACTTGCTATGAAGCTGCTGTAGCATCTCCTACTGGCTATAACTTTTCCTTAACATATGGTTCTTGATGTAGCGACTGTAGCAGAATCTGATGTACTAGAAACTGTCTCTCTAAAAAAATTTTAAGTTATGTATGTGTCTTAATAATGTGATCTTAGCCTCAGTTACTGAATTTTTTATTTTTCACAAAAATCTGTCTCTCCATTCTTGTCTTGTTTGCTTCCATTGGAGCTATTTTGATTATGATTTCCACCCTTTTTGAGAATTATATGGTTTACTGAAAATGTAGGGTTCATGGTCTGGATCTTCACATTCTTGTTCAGCTACTGATGCAGCATTGGCGCCATCAAAATCTGGAGATTGGGAAATAGATATTGGATTATTGAAGACAGGAAAAAGAATTGCATCAGGATCTTGTGGAGATTTGTAAGTTGGGCATAGATAAATTTGTACTTTGATCACTCTGCTCTTTGTTGTCCTTTTTTTTCTCACTCTTCTAGGGTATTCATGTGAAGATATCATGGTTTCTATCATGGTCAAGATGTTGCTGTTAAAATTCTTAGATCTGAGCATTTGAATGATGCCGTACAAGTTGAGTTTGCTCAAGAGGTGGAAATATTAAGGTGAGAAGAAACCTTGTTCTTTAATATCAAAAAGATGACCGTAGCGATGTTGGATGCCAACTCCCATGCATATATTCTAATTTTTGGGATCAGTTGTATTCATGCTAGTGCACTGAGATAAAAAGTCTTAGATTCAGTTGTTAGGCTGTTAAGATCTTCTATGCCTTGACATCGACGCTGCTAGGATGTTTGTGAATACCAGTTGTTCATCTCTTTATTTTTAGAATTAGGTCCAAAAGTCTGAATTATACCATTAATGAATGAAACAATGAAAGGATCTGTTTCCTTGTAAGCTGCCCCTTCAATTTTTCCCTTTGGAACCCAATTACATGTTGGATAATAGTTGGCCCACCAACAAGTTTCTCTGGTGAGATGAATGGACCAATTTAATTGTTAAAGAGGAGGATCCTTTACTTTATTGCCTTAATTTAGCCTGTGAATAAATATGAATTTTACAATTTTATGCTAGAAGAATTTTCTGGCATGTCAGTCAGAATCTTCTTTATCTTGACTTAATCTTCTTGTATGTTTATGCACTTTTTTTTTTTTTTTTCCACCTAGAAATTTACTATATTCATCCCCTCCATTTTTCTGTGAGTACAGACAGGTAGAGCATCCAAATGTTGTTCATTTTATTGGTGCCTGTACAAAGTCTTCAGATTTGTGTATTGTGACAGGTACTAAAACTTCCAAGTTGTTAGCCTTTTCCCCATTTGCTTTAAGTTCTTGAATTTTTTTCCCTATTGTTAGCCCGCCGTTGCATTGTTTAACCAATTGAACTGGGCAGTCCTCTCTGGTTTTTAGGAGTTGCATGATACCTTGGGTAAGCCCAAGTTCTTGTCACAATTGTCTATTACACTGTCTAGGAGTTGTTGCTCTCATGAAATCTTATATGAACTTTCTGTTTTTCTTTCCTGGGTGATCTAAATGTGTTTTTGGAAAATATGGCCACAGGTCTAATTTTAATTTGTCCTGTTTATTTTTTTACTGTAATGCACTTACAGCACTTGTTTGTTGCTTGCAGAGTATATGTCTGGGGGAAGTCTGTATGATTATCTGCATAAGAACCATAACATCTTGACGCTCTCTGAGCTGCTAAAGTTTGCCATTGATGTTTGCAAGGGGATGGAGTATTTGCATGAAAAAAATATAATTCATAGGGACCTCAAGACAGCAAATTTGCTAATGGATAGCAACAATGTATGTAAGAACTTAAAACTTTTGATATTATTGTTTTGATTTTAATTATATAATCTTAGCTTCTATAGCTTTTCAAAGAGAGTAGTATTTTTTATCTCAAGGTGTGGGGTGTATGTTTCTTTAAAGGTTGTTAAGGTAGCAGACTTTGGTGTTGCTCGGTTCCAGAACCAAGGAGGAATAATGACTGCAGAAACTGGGACATACAGATGGATGGCACCCGAGGTTTGAATCTCGAGCTTGCTCCTGTTTAATGAGATTTAACTTTTTGAATAGTACGGCCTATGTTGTAGAAATGTATCCTTTGTATGATTTTGATGGTAAAATTACCATTTCTAATTGATGTCACTTTCGTTTTTATGGTTCTGTGAGTGATTTCCTTTACTGCCTATTTGCTGCAAATAGACCAAGTAATTTGATTTTCATAAACTATATTTGTTGACCATTGTAATTTTTGTTCTATCTTGCAAGGTCATAAACCATCAACAATATGATCAGAAAGCAGATATATTCAGTTTTGCTATTGTGCTTTGGGAGCTAGTTACAGCAAAGGTGTTTCCTCAAGCCACACAAAGGCATCAATGCATTAATGAATAATTCAATCTCTCAGATAGTTTTAAGTTCTATATACTTTGCGTTCATGATTGTGTTTTCATACTGCAGATTCCATATGAAACCATGACTCCACTCCAAGCTGCCTTGGGAGTGAGACAGGTTCGAAAGTTCATCTATATATACCTATCCAATTACTTTGTACATTGGCATTTTTCAGCATAAGTTTTGAACTGAGTTTATATTCCTAAAGCAACTGAGGGATAACCATTCATGTCTATGGCACATTGATCTTTGTTCATATGACTCTACCTAATGTAACAACCGGGTGTGAAATTTTACTCTATAGGGACTGCGCCCAGAGCTACCAGAAGATGCACATCCAAAACTCCTGGACTTGATGCAGAGATGTTGGGAAACAGTTCCTGATAGACGACCTTCCTTCTCCAAGATACTAGTGGAACTTGAGAAACTTAGCGAAGAAATACAGGTAGGATGTTCGTTTGCACGTAATACATTTTTGAAGTGTTATTTATTCGCATCTAATTACGTTCTGTGTCTCAGGAAACGTCAGAAGCAGTGAATGGACAATGAAACATTTGGTATCTAGTTGCATGATAAGCATGTATGAAGATTTTTGTTTTCAAATCTTCTTGTAGTTATACAAGTTTTATCATGTATAACCGAGGTAAAACGAATTCCACGAAGGCTGTACCATACAGAACTAGAACATGAACATAGAATGCGATTTCTATTTGTTTTGTTCTTTTGGACTGTTAGGAAATGCATTTGGACTTCATCCTCCCTATGTTCATTTTCCCCGGTTTTGTACATCAAACAACACAAGAAAATTATTTTCTTTTTCTTTAATTTTCTAACAGGGGAGTCCCATTGGATGAATTCCCATCCAGATTCATTATATAAAGCTTTTAATCATTCAGCATTGTTCTGTTCTTTTCTCTGCAGCTTGCATGTGGGAGTTGTCGGCAGACAAATCACATTATCACTCGATTTTTTTTTAAAAAAAAATTTGGATAGTTACAGTGTTTTTAGCATAATTTGTGCGCACTTTTAATAATAATCTTTTTTGAGAGATTTTAAAGGTTTATTATAAGAAATTAAATTTTATATTCTTAATTTAAAGTTTTAAAATCTTATTAATTGAGACACCTTTTAGGACATGTAATATATTGTCTCTAAGTATTCAT